TGGCCAAACTTTTTACTGGGGGGCAGGGGTTTTTTTTCCCTAACAAAATGGTATAAGGTAAATAGGATGAAATTTGATAAGGACAAATACAAAGTGCTCACAATCAGTTTCACACATACAAAATGGGAAATGGTGGTCTAGGGAGGAGTACAGCAGAAAGAGATCTAGTGGACCACAAGCTACATGAGTCCACAATGTGACACTGCAGGAGTGTTGTGAGTAAGACACAAGAAGCAATTTTTTCCTTCTGATTAGGCCTCAGCTGGAGTGTTGTGTCCAGTTCTGGGCGCCACCTCTCAGGGAAGATGTGGACATGTTGGCTGGTGAAATGTGTCCAGTTCTGGGTGCAACATTTCAGGAAAGATGTGGAAAAATTGGAAAAAGTGTAGAGAGGAGCAACAAAAATGACTAAAGGCCTACAAAACATGATCTATGAGGGAAGAGGGAAAGAATTAGGTTTGTTTCTTCTGGGAAAGAGAAGACTGAGAGGGGACATGATAACTTTCAAGTACTTTTATAAGTGGTTACAAAGAGGAAGTACGAGGAGTCCTGTGGCACCTTATAGACTAACAGATTTATTGGAGCATAAGCTTTTGTGGGCAAAGACCCTCTTTGTCAGATGCATGTAGTGGAAATTCCAGAGGCAGGTATAAATAAAGAGAAGGGAGGAGAAATTATTCTCCTTAACCTTGGAGGGTAAGACAAGAAGCAATTGTCTTAAATTTGAGTAAGAGAGGTTTAGGTTGGACTATAGGAAAAACTTCCTAGTTGTCAGGGTGATTAAACACTGGAATAAATTGTGTACAAAGGTTATAGAATCTCAATCATTGGAGATTTTTAAGAGCAGGTTACACAAACTCATGTCATGGATGATCTGGATGGTGCTTGAGGACTGGACTCAATGACCTCTTGAGGTTCTTTCTGGTTCTCGTATTCGTTCTAGACATGCTCTCGAAATTTCTGGTTTTCACCCCCCCCCACACACACACACATTTTTCAAGATAATGCTCAGCTTTCTGGAAATATTTTCAGCTAGTCTTTTCCAAGAGGAAAATGTTTCAATTTTTTCTTAATTCTCTTTATTGTAGCACTTAATTTTAGGAGGCAGTAATAAGAGAGTCAGGGAATCAGTTTTGAATCCTTTCATGTTCACTTCATAGTCTGGGAGTTTCTTTCTCTTGTGATCTGGGGTTGGAGTCTCAAAGGCAAGCTTTCTCTCTTTGTAGAAGTCCTTCTGAGAGTGCTTGTGGATTTCCCCTATAATTCATGAGAAGAGGGGCTTTTTTCCATGTAACTTCGGTTAATGATTTTCCTTTTTTCCTGTTAGGCAGCAAAATCCATGACACATTAAAGACTAACACCAGGTTTCAGTGCTGTGCCAGACAAGAAGGGAGCACTAAAAAGCAGCATTTCCTTCAGTCCGGTTTCCCCTCATGCCCACCCTGTCCTCAGCTAGAGATGAGCTGTCAATGTGGAGCTCTTTCACCGACTTCTGTGTGCATATGTTTTTGCTACCATAGAGACCTGGTGTTTTCTCTTTAAAGCTTTGTGTCTTAAGTTATTTGCCTAAAATTTTTACATGATGCAGAAAGAAGAGAGAAAGATGAGTCACCCATGTGAGGTAGCTAGTTTCACATTGGAAATCAGCTTTTAAAAGTGAAATGTGAGCACTGATCTTGTGGACTTACCTAGGACTTGCCCTTCTGCAGGTCTGTAAAGTTTTATCTACCAGTAGTGAAACTGGAACACATTGGGATGTGTAAATAGGGGGATTGGTGAGAGATTGGCTTGTAGCGGCCTTGTGTGATGCTGTGACCATGGAATAGCTGTGTGCTGATCCGGGTGTACATACTTTCCCAGCCAACTACAATTTGTTAATATCATTCATAGGGCTAGTACAACCCAGAAAACCTTGAAGACATTTTGTCAGCTTTGCCTCCTGTCTCTAAAGGTTTTGTTTCCTAGTCAACAATTAAGCAAACTCCAGAACTCAGTTTTGCAAAAGGCCTTACGGTAGGAGTCGGATGTATTTCCTTTTAATGAAGGGGTAAATGAAAAAGGATGAACCACCACCTTAAAAGCATATTAAGTTGTAAGGACCAATAAGTTTTCCTTTTCTTGATAATGAGACAAAGATAGTCTAACTTTGGTTAAACATCACTTTTACTTTTAAATGCTAACTTCATATGAATAAAGAGGTACTGTACTTGCTTTTGAAGTTCAAAGGGAATGTATAAAGTTACAAATGGCAAACTTTAGAAATGGTAAAGGGATCCTGTTCTTCCTTTACCCTCCGTGTTTCAAAACATTCTCCCGTTCAAGATAGTTTTTGTTTTTGTTTTTGCATGCACTTGGGAAAAACACAAGTGGTATCTGATTTTAGTCTTTTCATACTGGGCAACTTCTGTTGTTGTAGACTTTTTTTTTTCTTTTGAAGGGAGCAGAAGGAAATATCTAACAAGGCTGTGGGCTGGTGCTGATTCAGCCTGCATTGGCCAATTGCCTAGCTCACCACAGACGCTACAGGAAGAGAGGTCGTGTGACAGTGATTCAGGTCTTATGTACACGAGAAACCGTCTGCCAGTATAGCTATACTAGCAGAAGTACCCAGCGTTGCTCAGGTCTTTAATGGAAGTAAAAAAAAAAAGTTTAAATAAATGAAAAATGTACAGGCTTTCTTTGTTTAAATAAATAAAATATGTACAGGCTTTTTTCAATTACTATTTTTCTACAGTAAAAGCTGTAATGAGTTCAGAGTGAGGAGGGGTAGGGGATTGGTGACTTAGGGCAGAGGGAGGGAGGTGGGGAAGCTCAGGGCAGGCGGGAAAGGCAGGGGCTCAGGCCAGGTGTTGGGGGTGCTTACTAGGGCTGCCCATGGTAGTGAGGTTGGTGGTGCTTTGGCAGCTGCCCAGGACCATGCTGTTTGGGGAGAGGGGACCATGCTTCAAAGGCTGCTGCCCTCTGCAGCAGTGCCCTTTGCAGACTGTTGGGAGGGAGGGGTGAAGATCCAGGAGCTATCCTCCCTTGCAGGATGTCTGAGAGGGGCCTGCAGGCTCTCAATAGGTTAGGGGCAGGCTTCAGGTTTGAAGCAGGGGGGCTCCTTATCAGTGTGCTGGAAGGCAAGATAGCAGAGCCCTAGCCCTGCTGGCCACATTCTTGGTCAGGTAGGCAATAATTTTTGATGGTGGGGCCACTCCAAGAATTTGGTAAGTGGTCAAGGGCCGCACTCTTCCATTCTATGAATGAAGGAGGTGTGGATAAAGGAGAGGATTGTGACCTGGGACAAGGGACTGGGGTGCAGGGTTTGGCAGGGGAGTGTGACCTGGTGCAGTGGTTTGGGTTGTGACCTAGCACAGGATTTGGGGTGTAGGGTCTGGGAGGGGGTATGCATGGAGGAGAGGATTCTGGCTTAGATGTGTAAGAAGAGGGAGTGCAGAGTCTGGGAGGCAGCTGGATCCTGGCC